TTTTGGTCTCCCTGCTTAACAAATCTGTAATAACTTTTCTTGAAGTTAACATACAGATATAAAGCTTCTTGAAGTTTTAAAAAAGTGCTCTCTCAAATACAGTCATTCAGTTGTTACTTTTCGCCAAAATTCGCCATTTCAACGCAGATGTATACCTTAATTAAAATCAGTTTATGAAGGATCCCTCTAGAGTAATACAAATACATTGAAATTTATGTGCGGAAATAAGTTCCATAATAAGATTCAATGTGAAGGCTACATTACTTTCTTTTTGAAACTTAGTGTAATATTCCAAGATTCTGTCACGGCTAGTGCCGCTCTGATCGGTATAATGATTAAAGACGCTGACTACCGTACCGATATGCCAGTGTTCGAATTCTGGAGAATGTATGAATATTTAAATGTGTATAGTATCTTTGCGACATAGAGATATTCAAAATCCGGAAATCCTTTCGAGGGCTCTGGTGCTTAGCGGGGAGCAATGCTTAATAAGGGGGGGGTTCTCCAAAAGGTTCGCCTTACCTTTTAATTTTTAAAATTTTTGGAGTCAAGCAAAAAATTTTCTCGGTGTATGCAAATCGATCCTGTAAGAAATCCTAGAAACTTGAGGACGAAAATATACAAGAGAGCTAGAATCAGTTGTGGCATCGAAGATTTGAATTTAGCGATTTTTGAGTTGGTGATAAAGGATACACAGACACGCATGTGAAGGTTACACATACGAAACTGTTAGTATTTCTAGATGGCTGGTTTGGTTTATTTAATTTCGGCAAAGCCTCGAGGGCAATCTGCCTAAGGAGAGGGATGCCTTCGTGTAGCACTTTCTAAGGGGAACTGGCTAGTATAGACGTTACACATGGGGAAAACCACGGAAACGCCCATGAAGCTATCCCGTTCGCCGGATTTTAACCACAGACCGAACTACCAATGTTCAGGAACTTTACCTCTCAGTCGCTCGTGGCCGTTCGAGATGGCGGTTTATTTCTAGCAGAAAAGGAATTTACTATAAATAACTGGGATTCAGAAACCGTTTACAAGCTATGGGAAAGATTCAGAATGTCGCATGAATTTATCTAGACGATAAAGGTGTGTAGGTGTGTGTGTGTGTGTATTTAATTATGGCAAAGCTCGCTAGGGCTATCTGCCTAAAGGGAGGGATGCCTTCGTGGAGGACTTTCTAAGGGAAACTGGCTCGTATACACGTTACACATGGGGAAAACCACGAAAACACCCATGCAGCCAGCCCGTTCGCGGGATTTGAACCTCGGACCGAACTACCAGTGTTCAGCGACTTTACCGCTCGGCCGCTGGTGGGCCCTAGACGATAAAGGATGAGTACGTAATGAGGCGTATGAATCTTGCAATAAATTACACAGTAAATCCTTCCTACAGGAAATTGAGAGACTCTGGAAAATGTATGTATTACAACAGATATATTACAGTAAAACAAAGTAAAAAAAAAACTCTTCAAGATGGAAAAGAAACACGACAAAGTAGAAACATAAAATTAGGCAAAACAACAACCTTATGTCACTCTTGACTAAAATATACGCTAAACACAAAATTGTTGCTTTACGATGCTTTGGTCGATTTAAGAGAATAAAATAAAAGCTGAATGAAATTAATAAGTATCAAAAACAGAAATTTAGAAATTATATTCTGAAGGTGGAAAATCACCAAGTTGAATTTCGCGTCTCCTTTAGCAGGCTATGCTTGGCCCTCGCAAATAAACATATATTTGAGAAGTTGTCACTCATTTTCGATCCTTCGAGAGTTCTTGGAATACCTCGAAATGCAGTCCATTTAAATGAAGGTGACCTGTGGATTTGGAATCAATCCACAGTGAAAGGTCTTAGCAATAATATTGCTATTTCTTTAACGATTTTTCTAGGTTTCGGCGCATTTGATTACTTTAGTTGTGTAAATAGAAAGTGTTCATTAATAAGTAAGATAGTTAAAACAATAAATGATTCAAAATCGCGTCCTCTTCAAAGCAGATTCTATGTACTAATATGTGAAGCTACTATGAAAAAGGAAAGGTGTATGGAATGCTACAATGTGTTCTTCCTGCTGCACGCTGAAATAGGATGGTTGTGTGGAGATGTTCACATGACCACAAAATAGCGACCGCTGGTCTCTCATTAAACGTTAACTCTTAATTTAGGCTTACAGTGTCCTACAGTTGCATAATAATAAAATTAAAATGTAAATAGCCTTTTGTGAAAAGTAAAAATAATTTAAAATAACAGGTACCGAACAAATGTTCGAAATGAACTGGCTATAATTGCAGAAACAATTTATTGTAACTCCTTTAATGATGCTCTGAGGAATAATGTAAAATAGCTGTTGAAAGGTAAATCGGCGCATTCATTGAACTTTGGAAGAAACTTTATGTACGGTTACAATTTTGACAGCATGACGTTGAAAAAAAAAATTGTGATAATAAAGTTAAAAACTTTAAAACTCGTTTCTAGGACACTGGAGGTACGATATCTCTTTACCATCTGTACCTTTTATCCACCCAGACAATATGGAGGTTACTCTAGTACGCTTTGTCATATTCAAAACACCTAATCTATCCATGGATTAATTCTTAAACATCATTAACTTGTAACAAAGAATGCGCCTAAGGCGCTCCCCGGTAGAGAAGCTGATTCTACAAAAGGGCTCTGCGAGTCAAAAGTTCTAGGAACCACCGAGTTGGAAGATAATAAATAACGACGTTCCAAATTTGGCGATTATAGATTGTTATCTTTTAAAGGTACATTACGCTGTCTTAAAAATTCTAAAACATATTTGTACGCCTAAGAGCATTACATTTAAACAGGTGACGGAGGACGGGGGCGCCTGGTGTCTAACATAGGTAAACAGGCATATACCCGCGTCCTCCACTGTGTAGAGGCAAAAACTCCCTGGAGCCCCATGAGGCCGCCCCGGGAGTTTATTAGGATCTTAAAAGTTAACATGGCCATACAAGGGCTAGACTACATGTAGTACATTGTAAGAACGTGAGACAACTGAAGGTTATGGTTACAGAGGTAGAACAAAATAAGACATAAACATAAAACATAAATGGAAACAAAGAAAAACATGAAGAAACACATAAAGCACTAAAAACACAAGAAGGTACACTAAGACACACTAAAATACACGTAACTAAATAAACACCGAACACACATAGATTGTAAGGATCTTAAGTTTTACTAACGTTTATTTTATTTTAAATCTTTACTATCACTTCTTATTTTCTACTTCCGGCCAGAATTATAAGCGTGAAGGAGTTTATGCAAAGTTGTCTGGCGAACGCCAAGTATTTAAGTGTGGCCTTTTTGCCAAGCAGGAGAGAGGAAGCCGTGAGTTCGAAGCAGGCCGCTTACCTTAGAAGTTACGCAGTTGCTACTTTGCCTTCCAGGCCAGAGGTTTTAATCCTCTTGATAAATTAAACGTATTGTAGTGTTCACAGTCTCTGTGCTACATACGCTTCCTGTTATTATAAGGCCAATCTTATTCTAAAGTTAAATTAGAGTTTAGTTTTATTTTGATATCTTTTAAGTTAGACCCCGAGTGGAGGGTCATTGTATTCCGAAGTACGGAAGTCATTGTATATAAAGAAAAAAAATAAAGGGTTTTGTATACCCTTCGTCTGTATCCTGTCTACTTACTACAATTAGTGAACATAGCTTTAGTAAGCTCTCTGTTCTAGTCAGGTCATTGTATGTTTCCGAAGAAGGTTAGAAGAAACATTGAACCTGATAAGATAAACGCGATGCAGACAATTGAATAATGTGGACACATAAAAACGAAACACTTGATGTTATGAGACGCATAATAGCACGTAATTATTTAAACAGCGCGTGTGATACTGAAAGGACTAATAGTACATGATGCAATAAAGTTAGTAATAGTACACGCATGTGAGCATACAAAGATACGTGTTACAGCATAGTGACAAGAGTACTTGACGTAATGGTGCTAATAGTTCACACTGTACGATGCACTACACACATATATGCAGAACATATACTCGATGACAAATAGTACACATATAAACGATGCAGACACATGAAGAAAATAAACATTAATATGGTGCACATAAAAATTATGAGACTCATAGTAGCATACAGTTGATGATAAGGCACGCTTGACTTGATAGTAACACACAATTGTCCATTCATATATACGTGATGTAATGTGATGATGGTGATACATGATGCGAAGATACTAATAGTACACTGAGCGGTTAATAGTGCACAGGATAAGACATGCAAATATACATGTTGTGGTGTACTTATTGACCACATGATGCTAAAACGACAATAGTGCACAAACAAAACTTGCGTGTAGACAAAATGCAGACAATTAAATGATGCAGATAAACATTAGTATGGTACACTTAATGATATTAACGATGCATAATAGCACATGGCTGATGATTGATAGCTGAAGATATGTCACCCGTGGTACAAGGTACACACAAAGACGTATAATAGCATATGGTTGATGATAGATGGCTGAAGATATGACATCCGTGACACTGATTGTACACACAGTAAAGCATAGATACACATGATGCAATTGGCTGACTAAAGTACATGATGAATTGCTGAAAAAAAAAGTACATGAAGAATTGTTGAGAACAGAACACTTGACAAGACATGCAAGAACACATGTTGCTGACAAATGCATGCTGCAGACTCAGAGAGGGGCTTCATATTAAGTAGGCTGACAAAGGTCTTGCCCTAATGCCGTTATTGCCTTCAGAATGCGGCAGATTTTATTTGTCGTAGTCTTATTTTTGATAGTGAAGCGGTAGAATGCCTCTTCATTGCTGGATGGTGTAGGCAGGTGGTGCTGCGACGTAAGTGGGCATTGGTAGATATAATGGTCGGGTGTGCCTTCGTTGCCACACACACATACATTTGTAGTTGAGATTCCGTGCCTACAGAAGTAAGTAGGGAAAGGGCCATGTCCGGAGATGTAGTGTGACAATGGCGCAATTCCTATAGTGCGGTCAGTGGACACTTTTGGGAAGAACATATATAAGTTCTCCTGCCTGTGTCACTTTGGTCCCACTCTGATTGCCATATGCGGGCAGCTTCATCCTTGAGTAGACGTTTGAGGTAAGAGGGAGGCGATGGAACGTACAGCTCTTGCGCTGCAATGTTGTTAGCTGCCTCCTTCGCAAGCTGGTCTGCTGCCTCGTTACCAAGGATGCCTGCGTGGGCTTTGACCCATTTTATGGAAATCTCGCGGGAGCTGTTGAGCCTTAGCATCTGTTGCAAATTCATAATAATTTGTGACGTGTGCATATGGTTCTGGATGGCGTACAATGTAGATGCGCTATCCGAGAAGATGGTTGCATTATTAATACCGGTGTCTTCTATTATATGCTGAACTGCTGCTGTGAGAGCGAGCGCTTCTGCCTGGAAGACGCTGTTGGAGTCAGCTAGGTGGCCCTTCCATTCATGAGTCGTAATGTGATTCTCAAATTGCACAAAAGCGCATCCGACTCCATTTTCGAACTTGGAGCCATCAGTGAAAATATAGGCTTTGTTGTCATTAGCCATGTTTGCTGGAGGCTCTGTAGAAATAGTCACTCGAACTCCCTTGCCTTTAAGGGCTGGGTGTGTTTGAAGGACATCTCCAGGGTGTTCAAAAGTGATCGGACAGAGAGTCCTGCCATTCAAGGTGGCGTCCCGTCGTAAGTGAATTAGCCTAGTGTAGGCGGCTTCTGCCTGTGCCTTGATATGTAGGGGTAGAAGGCCTGCCAGGATCAATGCAGAACTCGTTGCTGTAGTCCGGTATGCTCTACAGATGTTGAGCGCGAAAGGTCGTTGTATGGCAGAAAGTTGCCTGATTTTTCTTGCCCCATAGGGTGGGCCCAGATGGCAGCAGCGTAAAGGGCAACTCTCTCAGCAACCGTTGTATAGAGTATCTTCAAAATATGAGCATTCTGGCCCCAATTATGACCTTGAAATTGCCTGGTCTTTGTGGCTATAGCCGTTGTGCGGCGCCGGATTTCTTGAAGGTGCGGTATCCACGTTAACCCCGGGTCCCAGGTGAGACCGAGGTACTTGAGGCTGCGCACGATCTTGATATTTCTTCCACCTAATTTAATACAGGGGCGTCTGGTGGGGTTAACTCCAGGTCTGGGAATTATGAGGGCTGATGTCTTATCGTAGGACACATTTAGTCTGAGCTTCTGGCAAAGGTCGGTGAAGATTTTGCAGACTTCCGTACCATGCCTTTCCAGTTCGTCACGGGTCCGGCCTTGAACAATGAGAGCTGCGTCGTCAGCATAAGCCACTATAGTAGTGTGCAGCGGCCAGGTGGTGTTTAAAACAGCATTAAATGTTAGGTTCCATAACAATGGCCCAGCACAAGAGCCCTGAGGGCAGCCTCTAACTTGCGACTTTGTAGTGATACCATTGTTGTTGGAGATTAGCAGGGTCCGGTCGTGCAGATAGTTGTTGAGAACTTTATAGATGTTCGCAGGGCATTTGACATCTCTGAGGGCCTGCTTAATTGCAGGCCACCAGAGGGTGTCAAAGGCACTCTCCAAGTCTATTGAAATAAATGCCGTATGAAGCTTAAGAGATCTATTGTTCTGAACACATTCAAGGATGGTGTGCAGTGCATGCGTTGTAGAGTAGCCTGCGCGAAATCCAAACTGACGGTGACTCAGGTAGTGGTTGCGATGTAAATGGTGGCTAAGGCGGTTGATCAGCAGCTTCTCATAAATTTTTCCTAAGGATGACAATAGGCAGATTGGCCGGTAAGATCTGGGGTTGGTCGGGTCCTTATTCTTTTTAAGGAACAGGACAACTTGTCCCTTTTTGAAGATTGCGGGGAAGATTTCCGCCTGCAAGAGCTTGTTGAAAAGAAGGGTGAAAAAACCGGGTCGAGCTTTGTAAGCCACTTTAATGAGTGCGTAATCAAGGCCGTCTGGTCCGGGGGCCTTTTTGACAGGCAGGTGTTTAAAGATTTGCTTAACTTCTCTGTTGTTAAAAAGGTAGTCATCAGGGGTGTCTGGGACGCTTTCGTCATTGCGCATGTTCCGCTGCTCTGGTGTGTCATCTTCCGGGCAGTCGGCTATAAAAATGGCATCCAGAAGAGCACGATCAGTATCTGCTGCAAGGTTGTCCGATGCGCTTTGTGGTGAAGGGAGAGCATGGATTTGAGCCGGCTGGAATACTTTCTGGGTTGCGATTTTGTGCAAAATGCCAAATGGGTTATTGTTGCTGGTACAAAAAGCCCTCCAGCTGGATACTTTCGCTTGCAGAATACTCCGTTTATAATTTGCACGTTCCCTTCTGTATGCTGCAAGAGTGTGAGCTCTGTTGTCTTCGTCAAGGTTAGTGCGAAGGCGTCGGCGAAGAGCTCTACATTTTTGCCTCTGTTGGCGAAGGCTCCTGTTCCACCATGAAAAGCCCTGTATTTTTTCGCTGTGCGAAAAGGCAGGATTTGCTGGCAGTCATGGTGCAAATGATCCAGCAGTTGCTCCGTGAAGGTTTCCAGATCATCTGGGGTATTGCATTGCTGTAAACATTGTTCTTCCTGAGTGAGGCGATTAGCAAAAACTCGCGAGAGAGTACGGATCTTGCATGCTGGAAGTTTAAACCGTCTTATGATTGAGATAGTGGTATCCAAATTAATTTCAAAGTGGATGTAATTGTGGTCAGAGCAGCTTTCTTCATTTAAAACTGACCAGAATTGCAAGTAATTGCTCATGTCTTCCGTGGAGATGGTAAGGTCTGGCCACCCGATATTATATGAATTATCGAATGTTGGTGGGGCATTGGGAGTATTGTGCAGATGCAAATGATTGGTTGCAAGAAAGTCTTCTAGGTGCTGCCCTTTGGGGTTCGTGGTGGAGTAGCCCCAGTTGACATTATGGGCGTTAAAATCGCCACATATTATTTGAGGGAGTTTGGGGCATGTTCTTTTGGTCTCGCTTATGAGGTCTAGGGTGGCTTGAATGTCTTCTTGTGGTGACGAATACAGTGAAGTGAGCAGGAATTGAGAGTTATTGAAGATAACCAGGATGACTACATAGTCTCGATGCAGATGAACCACTTGTGGCGTCCAGAGGGGATTACAACACACAATGGCAGCACGTGGGGCTTGGTCTCTTCCTGTGCTGCAGAGTTGAAAGATTTTCCACGCATAAGGAAGTGCAGCTACACGACCTTTCATAGTGTAGGGCTCTTGTATGAGACAGAAATCTATATTGTGATCTATGGCATGTTGTATGACTTGTGCGGTAGCAGCCTCCGCCCTTTGGAGGTTAATTTGGACACATTTGATAGAGACTTGTTGTGTAGGAGGTACATTAACTGAAGAGGAAACGATCGGGCCATGATGTGCACTGGTGCTTGTTGGAGGCAGTGGCTCATCTTCAAATTCAATCTGGGTAGACGTCTGTCGTAAATCTGCCGTAAATTTAATCTGGTTAGACGTAGGTCGTGCTGCGCCTGATGCGCTCAACGTATTTGGCATATGTAGGACATTTTGTGTCGTAGGCTGGGTGTCCACTGTACAGTCTGCCGTTGGTACGATGGTTAAAATCTGCACAGTTGATGCAGGTGGGGGCTCTTGCTGTGCAGTCTCTTGTGAGGTGACTTCCAGAACAGTAGCCGCAGTACATCTTGTTTCTGCACTCCTGTTGTGTATGGCCGAATTCTTAGCATCGGAAGCAGCGTCTTGTGTTAAAGAACTCTGCAATCCGATGCGCTCGCCAGCCAATGAAGATTCTTGAAGACTGCATGAGTTGTGCGAAGGCCGCTGGGCTGCATTCGATAACCCATTTGACGCCATTGGATCTATCCTTTAGGCGATATAGGACCTTTGCCTGTTGTTTGGAAAGATGGAATTCGGAGCCTAGGACTTTCTCTAAGTCCTCTTTTGTTATGTCCGGAGAGACGCTATGCACAGCGACTCTGGGGAGTCTTGTGCTAGGTAACCTTGTCTTAAATATTTCAGAGGCCTTTTTACTTTGGAGGGAGCTCACGAGCTTGGTGAGATCTTCTTTGGAGTGACAATCAACCGCTAGTCCTTCTTTTGAAATGGATCTTACAGAGGAGACCTTTACTCCCAGTTGGGAGAGGGGAAATTCCGCGCTTAATTTTTCTTTTAGCTCCTTCCTAGAGCTGATGATGTCCTCTTTGGGATAGATCAGGAGTGTTTGCTTGGCTATGGGCTTCGCTACTTGTGCGTAAGTAAGGGCAGTTGGTGCTGGGAAAGGTGCTGAATGTACTATGGCAATTGTGTTGATTTCAGTATTTACACCTACTTCCTCTGTTGCAATCGGGTGTACGGGGCCGTTTAGAGCTAAAATTCGGAGGGCTTGTACTGTACGGAGCATTTGCTCTCTTAAATCAGTTGGTAGAACGTGCCTGCCGCCGCGGCAGCAGGTACTAATTCGCTCTGCTTCTTCGACGAGGCTGTTGACTGTCAGCGTGTGTGAGAGAGGCTGACGCTGGAACTGAGGCAGTATTTAGCAAGTTGTAATTTGCAGAGGTGTCTGCGTTCGTCATTGCATGAAATGTTGCGCTAAATATGCTGTTTTAGTAGTAAAATATGCTGCTTTTAGTAGTAGAAGAGTAGAGGGTACTATCAGCACAGAGAATTTAGCAAATACTAATCACTAGAATACCTTATGTTAGCGGATGGAAAGTAGACTCAAACGTTCGTTACTGCGTTTATTAGACTGTGTGAAGAACAAGTTCGTACAATAGATATACAAGTAGTTCGGCGCTCGCAGGCGCCCTCTTGCAGGGAACAAAATCAAAATTTACATAAGGCGCGAACATGCCGCCCACCTTGAAATACTATTTCAACATTCAGTGGTTAAAATTCAGCAAATTTAAAACACAATACAATATTAAAATTATGATATAATACTTAATTTATAATACATGAATTAAAACTCAAATTGGTAATGGACACAATTTTGTAATATTTCTTTTAACCATGCCATCTGAAGTCTTAATAGTCACAACCCTAACAACACTATCAAGACCAGGATGTAACTGAGTAATTCTACCCATTTTCCATTTAGTTGGAGGTAAGTTATTCCTCCTTTATGAGACACAGATCATTAACTTGAAGATTTTTAGTTGGCAAAAGCCATTTTGGTCTTTGTTGTAATCGACACAGATATTCTTTGTGCCAACGCTTCCAAAATTGTTGAACCATTTTTTGAATATGTTGCCATCTGGTGAGATGGGAAACTTCAATGTAATTTGGTTCAGGAATGCTTGTTAATGATCTACCAATAAGAAAATGACCAGGCGTTAATGCTGACAAGTCATTTGGATCATTAGACAAACTTGTTAAAGGTCGCGAATTAAGACAAGCTTCTATTGTGTGTGAGAAATGTTTCAAATTCTTCATATGTCAATCTCGCCTCACCAACTACTCGTTTTAAATGGTATTTTGTTGATTTTATGCCAGCTTCCCAGAGTCCACCCATATGTGGCGCACCTGGAACGTTTAGATGCCATTTAATGCCATTATCAACCAAATATCTGCTAACATTTTGGTTATAAGTTGCAGACCTAGCAAGCCTTTCAAATTCCATCAGTTTGCGTTTTGCTCCAACAAAATTGGAACCACAATCGCTATATATATCACTGCTTTTGCCTCTGCGGGAAATGAACCTCTTAAGAGCTGCAATAAAAGCATCTGCTGAAAGATCAGTCACTAATTCTAGGTGAATAGCTCTTGTCGTAAAACAAACAAATAGAGCTATATATGCCTTGAATGACCTAGAGCCTCGACCCTTATTTGCTTTAATTTGAAAAGGACCTGCGTAATCCACTCCACAGCGCAAAAACGCAGGAGCAGGCGAAACGCGACTAGACGGCAAATCGCTCATCAATTGATTAGTGACAGATGCTCTAATTTTGCAACACTTTATACATTTCCTAACTAAATCTCTGATAACAGCTCTACCATTTATGATCCAATATTGTTCTTGAATGCAAGATTGCATAAGTTGTGGACCTGCATGCAAAAGTCTTTCATGGTAATGTCTAACAATGAGATGAGTTAAAATGTGCTTCTTTGGAAGCAAAATTGGATGCCTAAAACCATATGCAAGGTTTGCATGTCGCAAGCGACCGCCCACCCTGAGAATACCTAAATTATCTAAAAATGGATTCAAAGATAAAATTTTGCTTGTACCAGATAATGATTGATTTCTGCCTAAAGTGTTAATTTCATTCTTAAATTCAACATATTGCATTAATTTAATTAACACATGCATAGCTTTAGTTAATTCACTTGTTTTTAGAAATCCACTTACCTGATCTTCTGAATTTTTACAGTTATTTACAAACCTCAGACATAATGCTACAACACGTTTAAGTTTAGTGAGAGAGGAATATTTATAAAATAAATCATGAGCGTCTGTCAAGTGACTGGCAGCAGTTGTTGACTGTAAAAGCACATCTTTGCTCTGGCACAGAATCATTCAGTAGTGGTGCAGATAATGCTTGCTGAAAAGGAAATAAATTATACAATAAATCTGGACCACGTAACCACAATGAAGTAACCAGTGCAGATGATGACACACCACGGGTTGCAAGATCAGCAGGATTAGCATTTCCACTCACATGATGCCACTGGACAGGAGAGGATAAAGTCTGGATTTTTGCTACTCTGTTGGCGACGAAGGTCTTCCATCGGCTTGCATGAGATCTTATCCAGGCTAATACAATAGTGGAATCAGTATGAAAATAAACTTGCGATATAGGAGTATTTAAAGCCCTACAGGTGAAATCCATTAATTTAGTCAACAGTAATGCTCCACAAAGTTCCAATCGGGGAAGTGATATGGTTTTTAGTGGTGCAACTCTTGTTTTGGCTATCACTAACTGAACATTAATTTGTCCAGTATCTAACACAGAACGATAATAAATTGCAGCGGCGTAGGCCTTCTCTGAGGCGTCACAAAACCCGTGCAGTTGAAACTGGTTATCTGATTCAACCAACAAGAATCGTGAAATTTTGATACTTTTAATGAATAACAAATCTTCTGTAAGTTGTTTCCACTCACATTCAATATCTGGAGGAACCTTTTCATCCCACTGAAACTGATGTTTCCACAATCTTTGCATAATCAATTTATACCGAACCGTGATCGGTGCCAACCATCCAAGAGGTCAAAGGTCTTTGCGATTATTGAAAGTAATGTTCGTTTGGTTAAGACTTCAGGATATGATGAATTGACTTTGAATAAAAACATATCTGAAGCTGGATGCCACAGGATACCTAACGTTTTTACAGTATCATCATTGTCTATGTTCAAAGAAACATTTGATAAGCACAAATCTGGATTAATTGAATTCAAGACTTCTTTGCTGTTAGAAGCCCATTTTCTTAGAATAAATCCTGCACGTGACAACATCTGATTCAATTGCATTTGTAATTCTATAGCTTCAGTAACTGAATTGGCTCCGGACATCAAATCATCAACGTAGAAGTCCCTAAGACATGTCTTGGAAGCCAAAGGAAAATTAGTTGCTTCATCTATGGCTAACTGCTGTAAACATCTTACCGCAAGGTACGAAGCTGATGCAGTACCGTAAGCAATCCTAGTTAATCGAAAATCCTGAATTGGTTTATAAAGTGAATCGCGCCAGACTATTCTCTGAAAGTCTGCATCTTTTAGTATAATTTGTCTGTACATTTTCTCTATATCTGCAGTTATAGCTATTCTGTGAATTCTGAAACGAATAATTAATGTTGTCAGATCAGTCTGCAACTGTGGACCAACCATCAATTTCTCATTAAGAGAAATACCGCTAGAAGATTTTGCAGAACCATCAAATACGACTCGAAATTTATCACCATTTTTATCCGGAACTGAATGGTGCGGAAGGTAAAAACTAGAATTAGCTGGAACATCAATTTCATTTTCTGGAATCAATTCCATATGACCAAGTTGTGATAGTCCTCCATAAATTTGTGATATTGACTGGAAAGAGATTTATTCTTAATAAATTGACGTTCAATGCTTTGTAAACGATGTACAGCAACATCCCTTGATGACCCAAGTTCATTTCCCGATCTACGAAATGGAAACTTAACAACAAATCTACCTGTTGAATCACGAGAAAAATTCCGCTTGAAATGATTTTCACATTCAATTTCCTCTTCTGTGTAATGCTTTATCTCCGAAATTTCTTCCAATTTCCAAAATTTTTCAAGCTGGAGCTGAACATTGGTACAACTAGCATGATTCGATACAATTGTCTGCGATACACTTTTAGTCTTTCCGATAATGACCCAGCCGAATATTGATTCCAAGGCTGTTAACGAATGACCCGGAACAGTTAAACGTCCATGAAGCATTATCTCGCCAAATACATCTGCGCCCAAAAGAATATCTATTGGGCCAGGCTGGAAACAATTTGTATCTGCCAACCACAAATGTTTGAAAGATGTCAAAACAGATCTATCAACTTGATATTGAGGAAGGTCACACGTGATCTTGGGTATAATTAATGCATTAACTGAAATGCTTGCGTTTTTATAAAATGGAGATGTTACTTGTAATTGAACTGAACCTGAAACCTTTCCAATTTTTTGCGAGCTCAGGCCATTTACACTTATGTTTGCACTAGTGCGCTTTAACTGCAGTAAATTTACACAGTGCTCTCGAATAAATGAGCCCTGGCTACCTGAATCAATTAGCATCCTGCATTTTTGTAAATCGCCATTAATATCTTTAACATAAACAACCGCAGTAGGCAATAAAACTGCTTGCGCAACAGGCACCGTGGCGTTATTGCTACTAATAGCAGAAGTTCCGTGTTCCATGGGTATATGACATTTTTCATCATTTGAATTTTTCGAACATAACACTGTATTATGTGGCTTTGAACAATATTTACACATTCCTGCACGACATTTAAAAATGGGATGCGTTTTACTATCTTTCAAACAATTAGCACATAATTCATTCCTTTTAATAATATCCCATTTTTCTTTGATAGGGAGTTCTAAAAAACTATCACATTTAAATAACTGAGAATGAGAATTACTCTTACAATGAACGCACACATTAGCCACAAGTTGGGACGAAAAAGCGTATCTGCTACCTGAACCGCGAGTTTTAATTTCAGAAGGCAAAATTGACTTCTCCCTCTGGCACTTCGCCAAAGAGGCAATAGCATTCGCTCTGTTTAAAACAAAACGCTTGAATTCAGCGAAAGCAGAAATTTTCTTGTTCGAATGCTCTATCGTCCACTCTTTTAGTGTTTCATGATCAAGTTTCCCTTTTAACAGAAAAATAATCATAGTATCCCAATGCTCTACCGGCTGTTTAAGGATTTTTAATGTATCAATACACTGTTGTGTTGTATCAATTAATCTCCGCAAACCTGAAGCTGATTCATGTTTTAGAACAGGTTGTGAAGTTAATTTATTTAATGCTGCGTTTATTATTTCTATTTCGTTTTCATAACGTTCAGTAAGCGCTTCCCATGCCTTTTCATAATTCGCGTTTGAAATTTGAACTGACTGTAGTAAAACAGCAGCTTCACCTTTCACAGAAAGCTTAAGATATTGCAATTTTTGACTGTCACTTAATGTACTATTATTTCCAACACTGGCAAGAAATAAATCCCTGAATGATATCCAATCAACATAATTAGAAGTAAACACTGGCAATTCCACGCGAGGAAGTTTCAAGCCGTTTGCATTAGCATTTATTATATCTTTGCCTGAATTTCTAAGTTTTCTTGATTCTTCCTTTAAAGTAATTTTTAATGCATCTAATTTGGAAAAATAATTCATTCATTTCTATTTCATATTTACTAAACTCTGCGTCAGAACAAGTACCAAGAATGTTATCGTTTAAACAGTTCACTTCAACACTTAATGCACTAACATCATTTTCGTACACTTGGCAGAAAAAGAATTTCATGGCAGAAAAAGAATTTTCTTGATTTTGTAAACTATTTATTTGTGAAATTAAACGAGTCAACTTACCCTTAATGATACGCTTTTGCTTTAAAATTGACTCCATATTCCTGCCGCTGTTTTCACAATCCAGACAAAATATAAATCCGTTTTCCTGCACGAAATGTCCTTCTATACCAGAACGTTAAAAATTGTCTTGACACATCATCCAAAGAAATGCGCTGGCTCTCGACGGACCATGTTAGCGGATGGAAAGTAGACTCAAACGTTCGTTACTGCGTTTATTAGACTGTGTGAAGAACAAGTTCGTACAATAGATATACAAGTAGTTCGGCGCTCGCAGGCGCCCTCTTGCAGGGAACAAAATCAAAATTTACATAAGGCGCGAACACCTTAAACATAGTAATTATCAAGTGCGTGAGCACGGGAAATAAAGTACTTTAGTTGGTAGTCCGAAGATGCAGTTGAAAAGACTACAGTAGTGCAGAAACAGAAGCTGACGCAATAATATTATCACAGTATAAGTAATAGTGACACGGAAAAATGCTGTAACACACTAGTACTAAATAGCAATTAAATAATAGCACTAGCACAGAAATTCACTCAAAAATATAAATAACAGTAAAACAGTAATAATTGCACAGAAAAATGTTGTAGAGCACTGGTGTGCTTAAATAGCAATTAAAATAATAGCACTACTATTCTCAGTGGTTGTTGTGAGGTACCAAAGGCTTGGAAAATTAACAGGAAGAGGGAAAACCCGGGTTATTAGTTGCTAGGTGAAGAAAAAGGGGGAGAATGTGCGGAATTAATAAAGTGAGTGTTAGGGAGGGATAGAAAAGAACGTTGGAACTACAGGGTAGATTTAGGTCTGTTAATAAGTTAGCGGTAGTTGATAGGAAGGTTCATGGAAAATTATAAGGGAAATAAAGTGAATAAAGAGCTAATTAGTTTAATTAAAAATTAAATAATTAGTGTAGAGTTGGGGGATGGTGGCAGAGGACAGCAAAGAGTTTGTGAGTTTGTTATAAAAAGTGGTCCGATGAAGCTACGACTGCTAGTTGAGGAGCTAGAGGAGAAATAAAATGTTAATTAAAGGCAATTAAAAGGGGGAGAGCAATAAAGGTTGAAGAGAGGTATTAAGTAGTTATGTGGTTGGAATCCTTAAGGTGGGCTGAGACAGAAACTGAAGGAAATATATGTCTAGGTGGATTAGAACAGGAGTTAGAGGAGAAATAAAAGGTTAATTAAAATAAATAAATAAATAAAAGGGGAAAATAGAAAATTGACAGAAGAAGTTAGACTAAAGTGTTGGAAGAATCTTAATTGGGTGTAGAGGTTGAAACAAGTGGAACTAGGAGTCTAAGTTGATTAAATTGGGAGTTAGAGGAGAAATAAAAATTCAATTAAGCGATAAAAAAAGGGAAAGGATAAAAGGTAGGGAGAGGAAAATAAAGTAGATAGTATGAAAGCAGGAGGGAGGAGGAGTAGAAGGAAAAAAGAATTAAGGTTCTAGGTCAATTAGGAGGAGAGTTATGTAGGAAAGAAGTTTTTAATATAAAATTTATATTAAAAATTGAGGGCGGGGGCTTGTATTTTGGAAGCTAGAAAGTGAGTAGAATTCCGAAAGGGGAGGAAAAGGGGATTACGAAAAATTAGGTTTGGAAGAGATTAGTACATTAGAGGAGTGAGAAATTCGAGAAATAAAACGAGATTAAGGGTAATTAAAGGCAATTAAAACGTTATAAACGGAGAGCTGCTAGGAGTTAGGGCTTAAGAGTTTTATATTAAAAGGGCAGCTAAGGGGGATCTTATATTAAGATTTGGAGTGACCAGCTCAAGAAAATAAAGTTGGGGGGGCTTAGGGTGAAAGTTTAAGATTTAGGAGCCTCTGGTAACTCTTATACGTGAGGAACCAAGCCATGTGGCCCGACCCTGCGCTGCTACACAGAAAAATTTGACAGGGGAGGTAGTTGTCAAACAGTCGTGGGACTTAGAATATTATTAAACAAATATATCAAAACAAAAGATATTGCATAAAATCAAAAATGAGATACATATGTATTAAGAGCACAGTAAAACATACAAAAATAACTTCGGATCGTGATTCGAGTGAAATTATATGCATAGATACAGATTTTTGAAAATTTAAGCAAAATTAGCACTAAGAATTTCGAGATCGACTAGTCAAAACACTGAATTTAAGCAGTTATAAGTACAGTTTAAAATGCAAAGATTAGAAAGAAACACACATATTTATAATTAACATATACTGTTTGAAGAATTCACTTTAGCTGGGATCTTTAAGCAGAATATTGGTTCAGTTATTAAGTTGTAAAGTTCTTTGACAAATTTAAAAAAAAAAAAAAAAAGTGCTGAAGAAGTATTAAGTCCGAGTAATGATATTGGAAAAAAATAAGTTTAAACGTTAGTGCTGTACAGGGATGGAAAGGAAATTAAATTCCTACCTTGTGCTTTCGTAGATCGATGTTCTGAGATCACTAGAGGCTGAGATCACTAGAGGCTGAGATGTAGATTTTTGAAATTTTAACCAATTTTTTGCACATAGAAATCCGGCCTTAGATCTTAGTACTAGCAGGGGCACCACGTGGTTGCGGGTGGCAGGTCCTCCGTCGAAGGTCGAAGGCACGGCGTCGGAGGTGAACAGAATGCCAGACGTCGTACGAGCCAGAGGGGAAATCTTAGATGATATAACCAGACAACTCAATGCCTTGGGAAAGTTGAATCAATCTTGTTTGACAAGGGTGATCCACAGATATGGAATTTTTCGCAGAAATACACCAATTTCATGGACTTCGAAAATCACATACATTTGTATAATGCTTCACTATACAGTAGACACTCTTGGGCGCAAAGCTTCTTCTGTTTTTATCTGTGGTAATTACTCCAAATTTATCCAAATTAGTGGTAAATCCAATGGAACTGTATAGTTTAAAAACACAAACACAACACTGCTGTAATACTGCTACGCTGAAAGCCGAAGAAAAGTCTAAGTTCAATAATTACCGAAAAAATACTCGAATATTTCAATCTCTGATTTTGGTAACTACTAATAGGTAGGGAGTTGCACGATCAAGTTCTATCCTTAGAAGGAAATGCCTTTAACGGGCCTTTCAGCGGATTACTCGACTCTTTCCTTTAATAGCCCACATGCGGCCGAGCGGTAAAATGTCTAATACTGGTACTTGGGTCCGCGATTCGAATCCCGCCAACGAGCTGGCTGCATGAGCGTTTACGTGGTTTTCTGGAGTGTAACGTGTACACGAACAGTTTCCTTTAGAACGTCTTCGACAAAGGCATTCTTTCCTTTAAGCAGATACTCCGCGAGGCTTTGCTGTTGTCACATAACCCAAACCAACATTTCCTTTAATATCCAAAACTGCATTACTTATTCTGGGTTATTTGAACACTGCAAAGCCCACACTTGTTTAAGGAAAAGGATGCATTCACAGAAAACGTCAAAGAAAACGGGCTAAAATCTACGCTATCCATGGAGAAAACCATGAAAACACCCATCAACAACAGGTCCGCTCTGGGAGGTTTCGAACTCAGATCGCACTCCCAGTGTTCAGGAACTCTAGCTACTCGCCCACTGGTCGAAGAATCGCATTGGTTATTACAGTGTTGAGGAAGCTCACGAATACAAGCTGCCTAAGAACAGGAACGTCTTTGAGGAAAATTTTCTAAAATGAACTTGTTTATATTGCATACGGGAAAGTTAGCAAAAATATCATACAGTCAACTGGGATCCA